AGATGGGACAAAAGAGGAGAGGGAAACAGGAAAAAAACGAAACGAAATATGGGTCATAAATAGAATACCGAAGAGTAATGGAATAAAACAAAGGAAGAGGGGGAAGAAAAATCAAATTAGAAAAGGAGAGAAAGAGAGAGAGAGAGAGAGAGAGAGAGAGAGAGAGAGAGAGAGAGAGAGAGAGAGAGAGAGAGAGAGAGAGAGAGAGAAGAGAGAGAGAGAGAAAAAAAAAAATCATAAATATCGCATCAGACACAGAGACAGACAGACCGACCTACAGAATGAAAAATAAAAAAAGAAAAACAAACAAAACAAAAAAAACAGAGAGATAGAGAGGGAACGAAAAGGAGAGAGAGAGAGAGAGAGAGAGAGACGAGGCAAATAAGACACAGGACTCCCAGGCCAAGACTATATACAAAAGCGGCTAAGGTAGTCCTCTCCTCCCCCCACCCCTCTCTTCCCCCTTCCCCCCACAACCGCCCCCCCCCTCTCCCCACAACGCCCCCTATATTCGCAGGCTGCAATTTAGATGTAAATAGGATTAACAGAGAAAGCGTCACCACCGCCCGTGTAATGAACGCCTATGCAACTTATGGCATTTCCACCCGATTGTGTCGTCGCGAAGAGGGGGGAAGGGGGGAGGGGGGGTGGAGGGTGGAAGAGGTAGGGGGAAAGGGGTGAGGAGGGGGTGGAAGAGGAGAGAGTGGGGGGGGAGAGGTAGGGGGAAAGGGGTGAGGAGGGGAAGAGGTAGGGGGAAAGGGGTGAGGAGGGGGTGGAAGAGGAGAGAGTGGGGGGGGAGATTTAAGGGGAAAGGGGTAAGGAGGGGGGTGGAAGAGGAGAGGGAGAGGGGGGAGGAGAAAGAGGTAGGGGTGGAATGGAAAAGGAGGGGGGTGGAAGAGGAGAGGGAGAGGGGGGAGGAGAAAGAGGTAGGGGGTGGAATGGAAAAGGAGGGGGGGAGGGGAGAAGGGAAGTGGGGAGAGAGAGAGAGAGGGGAAGGGGTGAGGAACGTGAAGGGGGTGGGTGGGGGTGGAAGGAGAACTTTGGAAGTAGCCAAGAAGGAAGGGGGGGGAAGACTGAAGAAGCAGGGAGTTGGGGAAAGAGAGAAGAGGAAAGTTTTCGCGGGGACGAAAGGGGTGAGCACAGATCCAACCCTTCTTCTCCTTTGCCCCCTCCCCCCCGCCCCCCCCTACCCCCAACCACTTCTCAAGAGCCGCTTCCAAGACAGTCGTTATTAAAGCCACACCTATTTTATTACAGCGGAGGAAACGGGGCATTGAAGTTGGACTCGCACTTTCCCCTCTTTTTCCCTTTGCTGCTCTTTCTTTCCCCTCTTATCCCCTCGCTTCTCTTCCTTTCCCATTTCCCCTCGTTTCTCTTAGTTTCCCTCTCATCCCCTCGCTTTTCTTCCTTTCCGTTTTCCCTCGTTTATTCTTCCTTTTCCTTCGCTTCTCTTCCTTTCCCATTTCCCCTCGTTTCTTTTAGTTTCCTTCTCATCCCCTCGCTTTTCTCTTAGTTTCCCTCTCATTCCCTTGCTTTTCTTCCTTTCCTATTTCCCCTCGTTTCTCTTCCTTTCCCCTCTTTTCCCATTCGTTTCTCTTCCTTTTTCCTCGCTTCTCTTACTTTCCCGTGTTTCCTTCCTTACTTACTGATCTTGTTTCCTCCCCCTTTTTATCCTCTTTTCTCTTACTGTCCCTCTTTCCACCCACTCTTCTATCCTTTTCCCCTCTCTTCTCTTACTTTCTTGCTTCTCTCGCTCTTCCTCTAGGTATAGTTATAGTTATAGGCAGAGATATTGATTGCTAGATACAGAGATAGATGGATTAAGAGTAACAGTGACTGAGCGTGCGAAGGAAATAGAGAGAGAGAGAGAGAGAGAGAGAGAGAGAGAGAGAGAGAGAGAGAGAGAGAGAGAGAGAGAGAGAGAGAGAGAGAGAGAAAGAGAAAGAGAGAGAGAGAAAGAGAAAGAGAGAGAGAGAGAAAGAGAAAGAGAGAGATAAAGAGAAAGAGAAAGAGAGAGATAAAGAGAAAGAGAAAGAGAGGGAGGGAGCGAGAGGCGGAAGGTAGACGCGCCGGCCGGGTCTTGAGGACAGGGCGCCTATAGCAATAATCGTGGCAGGGATATTTCACCCGTAATCCAGCCATTTGTATTCATGCTTCTGCAAATGCCACTGGATACTGTTCCCCTAAAACTAACACCTGCTCGCCCGCTCGCTCTGTCTGTCTCTCTCTCTCCCCCTTTCTCATTCTCTCCATCTCGCGGCGTTTTGCTCTCTCTCTCTCTCTCTCTCTCTCTCTCTCTCTCTCTCTCTCTCTCTCTCTCTCTATCTATCTCACGGTGTTTCATTTTCTCTGTCTCTCTTTTTTATCTATTTCTGTTTCTATATCCCTCTTTCTTTGTTTCTGTCTGTCTGTCTGTTGGTCTACCCCCCCTCTCTCTCTATCATTCTATCTATCTCACGGTGTTTCATTTTGTTTGTCTGTCTCTCTCTTTTTATTTTTGTGTATCTAACTCCCCCTCTGTCTCTCTCATAGCCGAGTGGGGAGAGGGGGGAGGGGAGGGAGAGCACTGAGGGAGGGAAAGGAGGAGAGAGAGACGGAGAGAACAGACAGAATAGAGAAGGAGGAAGGGAGAGAGGAAAGAGCAGAAGAGATGGAAAGGGAGGTTGAAAGAGTGAGGACGGAGAGAGGGAGAGGAGAGGGAGAGAGGGAAGTCAGTGAGGAAGAACGCTGCGAGGAAAAGGGGTGGGGGGAGGAAAGAGGGAGAGAGACAGCACTGAAGGAGAAATGGGGCGAAAGGGCGTTAACCAGCAGCGACCTGACAATAAACGAATAAATAAGAAAGCAACTAGGAAAAACCCGCCATTACCATAATCGATATCATCATTCCATTACTATTTCTTCACTTTTTCCCCTTCTTCCCTTCTTTCTCTCCTCTCATTTACCGCACTCCTTTCCCCATCCCTCCTCCATCCACTTCCTCCGTAATGCCATTCCTCGCTGCTTCTCCACAAAGGCAGGATATGACACCGCCGCCGCATACAGGTGTCACTCGTCCGCGGCAACACCTGTCAACTCATTACCAAACCCGAAAGCCTCCCGCGGCACCTGCTGTCCACTCGGCGCCCATATTAAACAGGTAGGATCTGATGACAAGGATGGCGAACAGATGCGCACGTGGTGAAGGACGAGAAAACAGGCAAGCACGCATAAATGCATCCGGGCACGCATGTATATACATATATAGGTACGGGCATACAAAAGTAAGGACATACATACATACACACATACTCACAGACTCAGACACAGACACAGACGCACCCACACACACATATACACACACACACACATACACACACACACACACACACACACACACACACACACACACACACACACACACACACACGACAGGGAAACGTCCTTGCATATTCGCTGGCATCGGTTGTCATGGCAACCATCGGAATGGAATGAAGGGACATGATGCGCAGCTACTGAATGTTTAAGGGTGAAAGGTGAGAGGGGACAAAGAGGGGAAAGGGGAGGTAGAGAGGGGAAGGGAGGGGAAGAGAGATAAATAGAGGGCGGGAAGAGAGGAGACGAAAGGGGGTAGAAAAGGGAAGGGAGAGGAGAAGAAAGGAAGGGGAAGAAAGAGGGAAAGGGGAAGAGAGAGGGAGAGGGAAGAGAGAGAGAGAGAGAGAGAGAGAATTGAAGAGAAAGGAAGAGTAGGGAAGCGGTTGGATGAGAGAGGAAGAAGAGGCGAGAGGGGAAGGAAGAACAGTGAGGGGAAAGAAAGGGGAAGAAGAGGAAGTAGTGAGATTAAAAGGGGGAGAGTGGGGAAAGAGAGAGGCAAAGGGAGAGAGGAGAAAAACATTCAGAGGAAGAAGGGATAGAGGAGAAAGTCAGGAAAGAGGTGGGCGGACGAGGGGAAAGAACGAGGGAGGGAGGGAGGAAGGTGGGGGAGAGGGAGAGAGAGAGAGAGAGAGAGAGAGAGAGAGAGAGAGAGAGAGAGAGAGAGAGAGAGAGAGAGAGAGAGAGAGAGAGAGAGAGAGAGAGGGAGAGAGAGAAGAAACAAGGAAGAGGAGAAGAAGCAGGAAAGAGGAAGAGGAAGTGAGAGAGAGAGGAAAGAAAATTAAAGAAGAGGCGATGGAAAGAAAGGGTTAGGAAAAGGCAAATGAGGAAGGCAGAGGGGAAGGGGAGGACTAGATGAGAGGGGAATGGAAAGAAAAGGGAAAGGAAAAAAAAAGGTAATTATACTTAAGACCATAATTAGACCACAGCTGATGAAGAGGGAGAAAAAAATAAGTCACGCCCATATCAACGAAATTCATAATCATAACATTAATGAGAAAGACAAAGAGACAAGACAGTAATAACACCCGAAAACTATTTGAAAATAACAATTAAATCGGTATTACAACAGAGTAATAATTTTATTTTATTAAGAAATCTCACCTATTACGACCTTGCTGACCTAATAATAATAAAGAAAGAAAAATAGTAAAAAAAAAAAAAAAATAATAAAAAGATAAAAAATAAAAGTTTCCTGTAAGATACTCGGGTCAAATCAGTGATACACACGGACACGATAAAAGAGCGAAACTCCCATGCCTACATAGTTCTTTTTCGACCTTACTGACCTCCTGGCTTCATTACATCGTCACTCTGCACTGTATCCGATTAATTAAGGTTCATTAAAGGCCATAAATAACCGCGAGAGGAATCCTTGCAGGCGAAAACGGCACGAGGGGAAAAAATGGGGAAAAAAACGAACGTAATTGGATGCCTGGACACGGGGGGGGGGGGGGGGGCGCACACACACACACACACACACACACACACACACACACACACACACATACACATATATATATTGCAAATTACATAACCGCAACCAAGTCTGTTCTGAGAGAGAAAGAGAAAGAGAAAGGGAAAGAAAAAGCGAGAGAGTGAGAGAAAGAGAGAGAGAGAGAGAGAGAGAGGTAAACTGTTTACACTGACTGGGTCAACTGTTTACGTGTCTCTAGAGGCTTCGGCAAACACGTCTGGGAACTGTGCAGGAGGGGGGGGGCAGAAGAGGAGGAGGAGGAGGAGGAGGAGGAGGAGGAGGAGGAGGAGGAGCAGGAGGGAGGAGGAGTAAGTGGAGGAGGACGAGGACGAGAAGTAGGAGGACAAAGAGCAGGAGGAGGAAAGAAGAGGAAGAAGAGGAGGAGAAAAAGAATAAGGAGGATGAGAACAAACAGAAAATGATGAGAAGGTAGAGGAGGAAAACGAGCGGAAAAGAAGTTGCAAAAGGCGTGAAATTACCCACAGAAATCGCAACACACTCCAGAGGAAATTGCAGCCACTCCCAAGGCAAGTGGGCGCCCCCCCCCTCTCTCTGGTTGACAGATCCGACTGTCACAGAACTTTAACTCGCATAAATACCACACATGCACGTGCACACACACACACACACACACACACACACACACACACACATGCCCTCCCCTCCCTCCCTCCTCCCCCCATATACCCCTACCCCCTCCCCCTTCCTCCACCCCCTACCCCCTGCCCACTCCCAAAATCCCACGTCACACCCACTACCCCCTACTCACTCCCCAAAACCCCACCCTCAAACCTCCTTACCCCCTACCCCCTACCCACCCACCACCCACTCCCAAAAACCCCACCCTCACACCCACTACCCCCCTACCCACTCCCAAAAACCCCACCCTCACACCCCCTACCCACCCACCACCCACTCCCAAACACCCCACCCAGCACCCAACCTCGACGCGAGAGCCGCCCCTGCGCCCACTCGCTCGGCCCACCTACCTTGAACCACGTGATGGTGGGCTCGGGGACGCCGCTGGCCAGGCACTTCAGCTTCACGTTATGGCCCACCGGCTTGTCCACGTGGCCAGGCAGGGGGGGGAGGAGCTGTGGGGGGGAGAGAATAAATGACGATTAGTGATGAATAAACGATGGGAGAGCTAATGGTAGTTAATAAATATCTTTATAAATAACCAAATGATGAATGGAGGATAGGTAAGTTAATTACATATGTTGAATAAATAAGTAAATAAATGATGAATAAAGGATAAGAAAGCTAGTAGATACCAAACTAGAAAAAAGAAAATGGCAATCATAAAAAAAAAAACATAATCGAAGAAATAACAAAATATAAATAAACAACAATGAATTTTAGAAAATGGAACAAACCCAATCTAAATTGCCTAATCATTCTCTTCAAACAAAACAATTTACACCACAAATTCTACTCGACGAACAAAACAGCAACGGCAATGCAATCATTCCATTTCCTCACTTGGACCGTGCCAAAGAAAACGGGAAAGGACACTCAGCGCCGTATTCTTGGACGCGACTCAAGGACCCCGACTTACCTGCGTGAACTCTGGCGGGGTTCCTCCTGGGAAAGCCGAGGACGACGACGAGGAAGCCGACAGCGGGTCTGTGGGGGGGAAGGGGGGGAGATAAGAATAATTGTAATTTTGCTTGTCACAGTCATTGGGATTGTTATCATTTCATTACTGATTTTTATCCTACACACACACACACACACACACACACACACAATATAATTTATTCATACATTTATTTATCAGTATTTTTTTCTTGGGTGGGATAGAAACAGAAATCCTTAGAGAAAGGAAGTAAGTACATATATTTCGTCAATAAACTTATGAATGAGAAGTACTGATGACCTCAACGTCCTACCAACTTCCTGGACAGTCTCCAACGCCCCTTTCTGTGCCTTTTCTTCCTTTTACTACTTTCCTTCTACCTCCTTCCTTCATTTCCTTTCTTTTTCGTCCCCCCCCATTTCTCTTCCTTCTTCTCTTGATGAATAATGTAAATGAATGTCTCAAGCGGCCTATGCATTAGTCTCCCCTCTCCCCCTCTCCCTCTTTCCTCTCTCGTTCCCTCTTCCTCTTTTCTCCTATTCTCTTCCCTCCAACGTTCCTCCTTTCTTCTTCTTCCTCCCCTCCAACATCTTCCATTCCCCTTTTCTCCTTCATTTTCTACCTGCCTACCTTTCTGTCTCACTCCCTCTCCCGCTCTTCCTTTCCCTCTTCCTCTAACACTCGATTCCATCTTCCTTCTTCCCCTTTCACCCTTCCCCTTTCTCCTTTTCTCCCTTTCCTCCTTTTCTTCATCCGAAACCTCTTCCACTAATCCCAGTAATTAGAAAGTTCCCTCACAAACCTGAAACATTTTATTGCATACACACTGATTTCCCTGATATTAGCTCTTTGGCAACGCTGCGTCTGTTAACTGCAATGAATTCTATACTACCATTATTTATCGTTATCATTATTATTATTATTATTATTAGTAGTAGTAGTAGTAGTAGTACTATCAGTCATTACTACTACTACTACTGCTAATTATTATTATCATCATCATTATTATTATTATTATTATTATCATTTACTATTATCATTATCATTATTAATTTCAGGACCCGACTACTCTTACTATTACTACTGATTATTGCTGTTGTTGATATTATTATTATTATTATTATTATTATTATTATTATTATTACTATTATTTTCATGATTAGTATTATTATCATTATCATCATCATCTTCATCATCTTTGTTATTATCATTATTATTACTATTATTATTATCATTATTATTATGATTATTATTATTATTAATATGATGGTGATTATCATTATCAATTATGTTGTTGTCATTATTATTATTAACACCATTATCACTTCGATTTCCTGTTAATAACAACACCACCACCGACAACAACAAAGAACAAAATCAAACCACAAAAAAACACCAAAAACAGCAAACCCAAAAACAAGCAAAAGCCTTTCCAGAGCCTTCTTCGGGCCCGCTAACAGCCTCCTGTCGCCGCCCCTTAACCGCGCCACCAATTCTCCCGTTTCTTGCCGGCCGGTCGTAACTCGTCCTCCTCCTCCTCCGCCTTCTCCTCCTCCTCCTCCTATTCCTCCACTTCCTCCTCCTCCTCCTCCTCCTCCTTCTCCTCCTCCTCTTCCTCCTTCTGCCGTCCTCTTCCTCCTCCTTCTCCTCCTTCTCCTCCTCTTCCTCCTCCTTCTCCTCCTCCTCTTCCTCCTCCTCTCCTCCTCCTCCTCTCCTCCTACTCCTCTTCGTCCTCCTCCTCCTCCTCCTCTTCCTCCTCCTCCTCCCTCGCGCCTCCAATCAGGTCCTTTGGCGCAAATCGGGTCCCTTCTCAGCGGCGTTTAATCTTCCACTACTCCCTTCCCCCCGATTTTTTTAAGGGGGGTGGGGAGGGGGCGTTATCAGTGGGCAAATAAGTGCTTTGTTGGCTTTGTTGTCTGTTCGGTTGGATGCATATATACACATGTATGCATAAAGAAATACAGCACAGACAAACATATATACACGCACAAACACACACACACACACACACACACACACATACCATCCCTTTCCTCCCACCCTCTCTCTCTCTCTCTCTCTCTCTCTCTCTCTCTCTCTCTCTCTCTCTCTCTCTCTCTCTCTCTCGCTCTCTCTCCCTCTCCCTTACCCTCTCACTCTCTCCATCTAATCCTTAAAACAGCCACGTTTTTATTTTTCTTCCATGAAATTTACACTTCGGGGCGTTTAGGGAATTGAACAAGGAAAAGCCCAGATTTACGGGGAGCACCACACAACCCTCCTTCTGCCATGACGCCCCGGTCGCGACTGCTAAATGTTTCCATCAGTTTGGTCCGCCTCTGCCAGCTCGGGAGGAACAGAAGAAGAACGGGAGGCGAGGGAGAGAGAGAATGAGAGGAAGAGGGAGAGAGAGAATGAGAGGAAGAGGGAGAGAGAGAATGAGAGGAAGAGGGAGAGGGAGAGGAGAGAGAGAATGAGAGGCAGAGGGAGAGAGAGAATGAGAGGCAGAGGGAGAGAGAGAATGAGAGGAAGAGGGAGAGAGAGAATGAGAGGCAGAGGGAGAGAGAGAATGAGAGGAAGAGGGAGAAAGAGAATGAGAGGAAGAGGGAGAGAGAGAATGAGAGGAAGAGGGAGAGAGAGAATGAGAGGCAGAGGGAGAGAGAGAATGAGAGGCAGAGGGAGAGAGAGAATGAGAGGAAGAGGGAGAGAGAGAATGAGAGGCAGAGGGAGAGAGAGAATGAGAGGAAGAGGGAGAGAGAGAATGAGAGGAAGAGGGAGAGAGAGAATGAGAGGAAGAGGGAGAGAGAGAATGAGAGGAAGAGGGAGAGAGAGAATGAGAGGCAGAGGGAGAGAGAGAATGAGAGGAAGAGGGAGAGAGAGAATGAGAGGCAGAGGGAGAGAGAGAATGAGAGGAAGAGGGAGAGAGAGAATGAGAGGAAGAGGGAGAGAGAGAATGAGAGGAAGAGGGAGAGAGAGAATGAGAGGCAGAGGGAGAGAGAGAATGAGAGGCAGAGGGAGAGAGAGAATGAGAGGAAGAGGGAGAGAGAGAATGAGAGGCAGAGGGAGAGAGAGAATGAGAGGAAGAGGGAGAGAGAGAATGAGAGGAAGAGGGAGAGAGAGAATGAGAGGAAGAGGGAGAGAGAGAATGAGAGGCAGAGGGAGAGAGAGAATGAGAGGCAGAGGGAGAGAGAGAATGAGAGGAAGAGGGAGAGAGAGAATGAGAGGCAGAGGGAGAGAGAGAATGAGAGGAAGAGGGAGAGAGAGAATGAGAGGAAGAGGGAGAAGAATGAGAGGAAGAGAGAAAGAGAATGAGAAGAAGAAGGAGAGAGAATGAGAGGGAGAGGGAGAGAGAGAATGAGAGGAAGAGGGAGAGAGAGGGAGAACGAAAGATGAAAGGAAAGAGAAAGAGAGAGAGATAAGGAGAGGGGGAGAAGGTATAAAAAAGAAAAAAAAAACGGATATTGGGCGAGAGAAATAGAGAAAGAAAGAATGAAAGAGCGAGAGAGAGAGAGAGAACAGACAGACAGCGAGCGAGAACAGAAAGATCGCAACATACACCGGAGAAAGAAACAAAACAAAGAACGAAAGACGAGAAAGGAAAACACCGAAAACACCGA